GGGCAAAGTAAAACTGCTCAAATTCGAGCGAAAAAGGAATTCTGGAGACGCGGGCGAGAGAAAGATGTTTGTTTCACGCCAGTAAGACAGTAAGAGATCGTTTTTTTTTTTCTCTATTGTTGCGGGAACCATCGTTGTTTCTTCCTCCAAGTTCAGAGCTCCCAGTTGCTTTGCGTGAGGAAGAGTTTTACTTGAGTCTTTTCTTCATCTGTTCCTTCTTAGCTTGTTGTTCGACTTCGCCCCTTCGATGATGTTCCCTACTGTTGGATCGAAAGTCACGGAAGCAAATATGGGAGCTCGCACGCTGTGAAGGTAACTATCTTTCTCCCATTCGAGTGCTTCTTGGACCAAATCCCGTCAATTCATAAAATTTATGTGAGTGCGACAAAGAGTCTCCCATTTGCCTGTGTTGGCGATATGGTGATCGCCACTGTTAACTATTAAGAAGGGGAAGCCCAATCTAAAGAAGAAGGTCATGTCGGTTGTTATCATAAGGCAGACAGATGATTTATTTTGCCATTACATTTAGCATCATAAATCATGCTCAAAATCAGCATAAATCCTACTCACAATTTATAAAGTTTAGCAGGTTGTAACAAGAAATTTTAATAGCTTAGCAGTTTGTAACGATGATTTTACTCTACTATGCATATACCCAATCAAATGGAGAAAAACAGTTCCCGACATCCACTTTACAAATAATCAAACAACACAATAGATTAAATATATAAGAGGGTACCATATATTAACATTTCGTTAACAAAGAGCAATATATGTTTAAAATTGGGCATAAAGAAAGAAACTGAAATAAAGAACAGTGAGGGCAAAGGAGAGGAGAAGACATAGAGTTCACATTCTTGCGCATAAGCCCCTATTGTTCGCGACATGTCAGCGCTTTCGTTGCTGCAAGGTGTAGCCCTTAGGTTGTTTCGCCATGGCCTCCTCCCATGTTCTTTGCGCTCGCATCTTCGATCAATTGAGTATTGTGAGGGTATAGGACAACCATGATGCCCATGGGGCTGAGGCCGGTTTTGTCAATGGGCTGATAGCAAATCTCCTTTCATCTTTGTTTCTAAATTCGTGTAGAAAATATATTTTGGAAATCTTCGCTGCCTAATTTTCATGGGATAATAGCTTGAAAAATTTATCTAAAGCGCATTAAAATTTTACCTTATTAGAATTGTTTTAGATTATCCATAAGAATAACATAAGATATTCAAATTGTTTGATAGTGATCAATCATTTTCTTTACTTGAATTGCACCAAGAGTATTTAAACCCTAATATATTATGAGCTTAATGGCCCGAAATAGCATATGTTGCCCATCTTCTCGCTCATATGGAGGGAGATATATGCTCCACATCTATCACAAGCCCCTTTCAATAGCCACACGAATACTATCAAATCGCTTTAATTTTATTCCTCTATTAGATGTTCAAACATAAGTGATTAATCTAAGCAATAATTTTCTCATGGTTCATATCATAATATTTGAATTTTCTGAAGTTCTTATGATAATTACAACACAATTTCATGAATTATTTAAAATGAATGATTAGTCTCAAGTATGTGAATATTGCAATATAAAATAGTGACTCATAATTATTCTTTTTCTACAACCATTAATTTAATGAACAAACTTTCTTGAAAATATTCTTGCCAATTCAACCATCAAAATTTGTGTTTGTTAACTTTGATTGATTCATGGATTTAAATTTTATAAGATTAAAGAATTTATTTGATGATCGAAAATATTTTATGGCTATCAATGGATCATCTTCATGTTATTTAATCATCTTCTTTTTAGGAGGTTGAGTATCATGATTGTCTTTATTCACACAGTACAACCTTCTTCTAGTGCAATATCACCACCTTTTGATCATGACTCGCCTCAATAATAAAATTGATTTAGATGTATCTTGTGACCTTGATGTGTTGTTTGATTGTGCAATTTATGCTTATATTAAGATATTATTAGTTTGATTGTTTTTACATATTAATGTTGCCAATATGACTGTCTCATAATGTCGAAAGAGTTTGGAGCTGTAAAGATATTTCAAAGCCCCTTAGAGGAGATCATATGCCAAGACATTCAACCGGCGAGTTCTTTTAATATAATGATCCTTATTATACATATTCAAGAATGGTTCATATGATTCCTCCTTCAACTAATATAACCTAAGCTATTGCATTAAGTAGTGCAATTAGAGTTTTTGTGTCTTAGTAGTTGGAGCTTGTACATGGAAGTAGTATGATAAATATGCTAGCCTCATCACATCTTTATGAAGCACAATCTCTTATGAAGAAATGTTGTTGAGCCAAAATAAGGATGGATTCAAATTAGGGTTTTTTTGGGTTTTTTTTTCCAATTTTATGGTTTATCATTCATGCTTCATATTATAATAAAAGTTGCAACTTGCAAACTTGGGATGCGTAGATTTTTTTTTTTTTTTTTTGTCATTTTTTCTTTTCTGGTAGTCGTTTGTGCTCATCGTTCTGACGACTGACTGCTATTATGTTTTTGTTGTTATGTGCAAGTACTAATGTACTTCTCTGTTAGTTTAAGATTTATGATGGTGAATTACTTAGGCATCCCCCCAGTTACAATTATATGTGCAACAACTTACTGCACTAGTATTTGCAGTCAAGCCCATAAAAAAATGTTGAAGCAATAAGGATTGCAATTTTGGTTTTTACATTTTGCTTTTGTATGAATAGTATTTGAAGCTCTTAATTTATTTCGGAAGTCTTAAGTTTCAATGTCAATTATATATGTATAGTGGAGGGCTTTGTCAAAAATAGGTAGGAGAGGCAACAATCACACTATGTAATTAGTTGTTAATTAATACTTGTATTAACTATTAATTATAGATTACTTAGGAAGTTATTGCTTTTGCCAACCTTGTACACTTGTAGATAAATGCAAAATGTTAAGCATATGTTTAGGCCTTTACTTTAGGGTGAGTGTGTTGGTTGTTTAATTATGAATTATGCTTTGTAATTATGTTTAATTTTATTTTTTAGATGGAGAACTCTAATACAGTTTTTGAAAGTACTTTTCTTGAAAATGTACAAGTTGATAATTATTGAAATAGACACTAACTATATTGATGATGATGATATTGGTGATTAGGATGTAAAAGAGAAGGATGAAGCAAATATTTATAAGAAAAAAAGAAGAATGACTTTTGTGTTGATTCCTCGGTAAATGCAACCATGTGGCTTTTGTGTTCTCTTAGACCGTATAGATACGTTATAATTAAATAGATACTATTATCTAAGATAATACAAAATGCTGTCTTGGATGATCTGTCTAAATATTCTTTACTCATTTACATTTTATTAATTTTAGTACGTGATGAATGATTTGGAGGTTTAACCTAAGCTCTAATATTTGTCGTTGTTTTTTTTACTTTTTAGGCTTTTATCTTTTTAACTTTTTTAGTTTTTTTTTTTCCCCTATTTTTTAAGATGGATCTCATGATCTCATCTCTAGTTCCCCACTCCAATACTCCACGAGTTAGAGGGGGTGTAAAGTTTCAAGTAGATTAAATAGAATTTGTGTTTAAAAAATAATGTAAATGTAATTTGTAATTTTTATTTGTATAACACTATAAAAGTAATGTATATCAGTGTTTAGTAAATGTATTTTTTATAACTGTAATGTATATTAGTGTTTAGTAAACTCATACAAGTTATGTAGCTCATTATAAGAATATTATAATTAATTATATGGTTTTATCACTCAAATATTCTTGCACTTTTTTCGCTTAATCCCATCTTTTTATTAGATAAATGTGGTAAGTGGAGCTTGGATTTTAAGAGATAGGTAACAAATAAATAAAAAATATATTAAAATTATGTAATACAACAGATTTACAATGGTAGAATTTGTATACTACACATATCTTCAAAAGAGTAAATCTTAAAACTAAAGAAAATGAAGAGAGGGCCATTGAAGCCCTTACTGCATTATTATAATTTTTTTAGCTAAAAATCTACTGAGTCTTTGTTTGGAATAGGTTTTCAACTGCTTTTGTGAGAAGAAAAAATTAATAAAAATAATGTGTGAAAGATAGCTTTTTCATAATTATATTAAACTTTTGCCTTTTATTTATTGAATAAGCATTTTTGAAATTATGACTAAGGTTTTATTTGGAACTATTTTCTTACCATTTCTCATAGCAGTTTTCTAGCATAAAATTCTTAATTTTTATACTAGAGAGCTGCTTTAAGAGGCAGTGAGAAAGCCGTCTTCGTTTAGAATAATTTTTTACAACTATTTTCTCACTTCTTTTAAGAAATTTATTTACTAGAAATTTTTGTAGGAAACTATATGAGAACTAACTATAATGAAACCTAACAAAATAGCTTTCAAAATTTTTTTAAAAAAATTATATTACCCCAAACCAAACTTAAATCACACAATCACATGAATGGTGGTGACAAAAACACTGCCATTGATCAAATCCATCAATATTGAAGACATCAAAATTTCTCTCAATGTTGAAGACATCAAAATTTCTCAAACTAAAGAAAAAAAAGCATCCAAAACCTCAATATAAGATTATTGAAGCTAATGTTTCATTTGGGAGAACTTTTTAACTATTTTCTAAAATAATTTTTTTTAACAAAACTTTGTTATAAAAAAAAAACAACTTTAAAAAATAGTAATAAATCAATCCTAAATAAAATCTAAATTTGATGGAAAAAACATTTACGATTAAAGTTTCATTTGCGACTACTCTCTTAATACTTCTTAAAACATCTTTTTAATACAAAATTTTTTACACTTAAAGATTATATCAAACAAAACTTAAATCACAAACATTTTTTTTTAAAAAAGTATAGTCCATCCAAACATTTCAATTTGTGACATTATTGAAGTCAAAATCATTTATAAAAAAGCTTGACAAAGAATGACTCGTTAAGAAAACTGTGTCAAAAATTAATGAAATGAGAATCTTTAGTTGGTAGCCCCATCCGTGATAATGCGCACCTTCTAAATCAATTCTTTGATATTAAATACGAATTAAAAAGCTTATCGTACTTTATTTAAACACAAGGGCGAGACCACCAGCTGGTAACACGTTGCTATCAGCCCTAATTACCTATTAACAACATTAAACAAAGTACTTAGCATCATAATTCTTTACATTATACGTTAACGGTCACCAACTTCAACATTTAAAATTTAAAAAAAAAAAGGAAAAATCCATCTCCGTTATCTTCACCGCCATTCCTGCGTGTCACAGGGCGAACAGCCCTCCTGAGCTATATCGGAGATCTGAACTCCGGCGTCGTACACCTCGCCGGAACGCCACTCGGCCGGCAGCACCGCCTGTTCGGCCCACACCCACTTGCCGTCGTACCCGGCCGTTACCACGAAGCGGAACTGAAGCGGCCCGCCCGGTGCTCGGCTGGTGGTCCAGACCGGGCCATAGCTCCGGGTCATGAACTGCCAAGCTGGCGATCCGACGCGTGCCACGTCGACTGCCACGATGTCAGTTTGTCCACCTTGGTACAAAAGTTTGACCGTCAATAAGCTCGGTCTCCGGCTGCTCTCCTCCACTCGTATCGATAGGTTCTTGTTTGGATAGTCGCAGGGAATCCTGCGTTATTGGGTCAATAAATTAAATTTTAGTCAACAGAAGGATCTATTCGTTTCTGACTTCACTTATATTAGGTTACTTAGATACGATTGATAATTAATGCTTCTCACACTGATAAAGCTTACATATATTTAATAAAATTATATGCATATTCACCTAATATATTGACATAAAGGAGTTTTTTTTTTTTGCAACTTTTTTATTGCTTTCTAAAGCAAATTTTTAGTGCAAAAAATAAAAATTTTCTACTAGAAAGCTGCTTTAAGCAGCAATAAGAAAGTCGTCCCAAACTTTAAGTTTTATTTGGGACGGCTTTCTTACTGTTTCTTAAAGTTGTTTTCTAGTACAAGAATTAAAAATTTTGAACTAAAAAACTGCTTTAAAAAGCAGTAATAATGCAATCATAAACAAAGCCTTAGACATTGTTGAGATAGGGTTCTTATTGCTTCTTAAAGTAGTATTTTAGTACATAATTCTTTTAAACTTAAACTTTTTGCATTAAAAAATTGCTTTCGAAAGCAATAAAAATGTTGTTCAAAATAAAACCTTAATCTAGGGGTGTGAAATTCTTGCTAAATTGAGCTGGCTCTTTTAATGAGCTTGAACTTGTACTCATTTAAATTGAAAGAGTAGTTTAATTTATACTAATCTTGACCTGCAATTAGAACTAAACTTAGTGAAAAATATGAGACTTGAAGCTTGAGCTCGATTAAAAAGCTCAAAATTGACTTGTTTTGATAGTCGATTTCTTATATGAAATCTGGACAAAAATAATTAATTAGATTAATATAAACACTAATGTATTAATTAATATTAATAGAATTGAATCAATAAGCTGGCGAGCCGAGTTGGGCCAAGATCAAGATTGAGCTTATATAACATACGAGTGTGAATTTAAGCTCAAACTTGTGGCTCGATATGCTCGACTTACAAACTTATTAACGAATCTAATTTGAGCCGGTTTATGATCTCCCTTACACTCCAATTTAATATAAAAGCTAATTATAGGCCAGTAAAATAATTCTCTATGATAAATAATTAGTTAAATAAAATTTTAAAAAATTATTAATTTGTGTGACAATATGAGCTTAAAAAAGAAATAAGAAAAGGACAGATTAGTTGATGATGATTATAACTAACGAAGTTTTACTGTTCAATGCTCTCAGAGAGCTACGTATAGGGCATGTGCTTGGTGAATAATTTTCATTGAAAAGGAGGTCTAATTTGCAAATTTTACAGTTTCAGATTTTAGTGGAGGAAATGCTGGATAAATATTAAAAAATTTTATAGAACCAGATGAATAGAAGGCCTAGTCATTGAAGGAAAATTTTTTACCTTTTGTGTTCTACATCAGTGATCACAAGTCGCTTTAGCCCGTCGGCCTTCCCAGGCCGCGCCATCGCCGCGAAGGCCCGAACACCAAGCCCGAAATCAGTGCTATTGCTCTTATTAAGCTCTGTTACCACAACCTTCACCCCTGCTCGATTACAGAGCTCCCTATTCCTACACCGAATCTACAATTCCAAAAGCCCCAATTAATCTCAAACAGCTTCAGATCATCATAGTTAAAATACTCAATAGCTAAAATCTCCCACCTGGAAGCAGCTACCGCAGCCAACGCCATCGCGAAAAATTTCAGAATTTGCGGCGGCGACAAACCCTCCATTGAAGTTCAGAGCCAAGGAGCCATAGCCGCAAGCTCCGGCTATAAGCGCAAGTTTAGTAATCAGAGATAGAGAAAAGGAGATGGAGGTAAGAGGAGATTAGCGAGCGAGGGTACCTGAAAGGGAGGAGGAAGAAGAAAAGGCAGCGGCTTTGGATTTGTGAACGCATCTGTCATCTGTCACAGGCTGTGGCGAGGGAGAAAGATGAAGGAGAAGACGACGAAGAAAGCGGAGAGACCAAGGATTGAATGTTGATGTGTGACGAATAGTCGCGGTGGGTTTGAAGGGAAGTGTATCTGGACTGGATTTTTATAGTGGGAGGACTAGTGCGAAAATGACGCGGTTAGTCCGGAGGAAGAAGAGAGAGAGAGGAAAAGAGGAGTCGTGTCTCTTGGCTGTGCTGACTGTGGCGTTCTGTAAAGTGGATTTTTCTTGAATTTATCAGTGGGCGGCGTGCGAAACTTTCTGTGAAGAACCCACCGGCCGATAGACTGGTCGGACAAGGGCAGGGCCACCGGATGAGGATGAATTTGGAAGGAAACTATGAGAATATAAGGGGAGGCGGTAATATTTATATATAGAATATTTTTAATAAAGAAAAAATAAAAAATTTTTAAATTTATTTTAAATTTAATATAAGCACTAATTAATTTTACATTATATTTATTTAAAATAAATGTCAAATTCTGGGGAATTATTTTGTTCATAGATCGGAATGCAGAAACGTTGTCCGAAAACCAATAGAATAGCTTCCACCGTTAGTGGTATATAGCTGTCTAGTCATTACCGAGCACATGGGTGACGACTGTGAAACATTCTGATAGCTAAGCGGAACGACATTCGACATCGCAAAAAAATATTTGCTGTGTCAAAGAATTTGAGATCTATTTTAATTGAACATTTAGTCACAATATCCGTCAGATAGTTATTTTTAATTGTAAGAACGGACGAAAGACAATAGAATTTTAAAAATACCTTGGAAACAATACATGTGAATAGATTATGTCCGAGGCCTGTAATTGTCTAAGCAATATGCTGTAGTAAAAGATCTAATGATATATATTCTAATTAAATAAATTTTTTTAAATTTTTAATTTATTTGAAAATATATAAATAATGGTGAAATTAATGTAAAATTATATTAATAATTTTAAAATAAATTCAATAATTTTTTAAGATAAAATCCCCGCTTTTTAATTTCTTTCCCTCGTCCACTTGAATGAGGCAGGCTATATAAGGGCTACAGGAAGCTCTTTGTGGATCAGATTTGAGTGAGAAAAACGTTTTGCCAGCTGATAGTGCACTGTGCATAGGGTTGCGTTTTGAATGTTTGCTGAGGTGGAGAAAACAGCGGACAGCTTTCAAAGAAGTACCGGGGCTAGGCCTTCGGGGCCTCCTTGGCCGCCGCGTCTTAGAGAGCATTAATTACTTCTATTTTAATTTAAAAATATTGACTTGATTGCAGGCACTTTGTATATTCACAGAAAGATCTAGTATGATCGGCAATGTTAAGAGGATTGCATAACTAGTTGAGGCCTTCGGAACAAAGTCAAGAGGAGCTTGTTCGAGTCTGAGTTCGAAGTTATTAAATATTCGAGCACTCTCTATTGGATTAAGTTGATGATTGGCTTGCAGCGGTTGCATATTGAATCGTCGCGGCCATTGAATGCTACAGGTGGAAGGAGAGCACCATATATCAAGACGAGAGTTGATAGCATTATAGCGCGTCGAGGAGTACTACGGGGACTGATTCGAAGGGCCACGTGACGACTGGGATGTGTATGGACGTACCCTATCACGAATCCATGGCAGACATTAAGATGCACCTGCTTCCCTACTGGCATGACCTAGGACTAAGTTTGAAGCGTCCGCCAAAGAATCGATTCATGAACGCTCTGGACATTACTCAGTTATAGTTCCTCTAACCCACACATAAATTAGTCGTCACCACGTTGCCCCTTAAGCACTCGAAACAGATCTGAACTAGCGGAACTTCGCCTTGAGATAGAGAAAAAAATTAAGATGAGCATTCATCCCATCACGTTATGTGGAGTATAACAAGTGTATGAGGAAGTCCGATATATTCTTGAACTAGTTTGTTTTATTGATTATAATGGCGCGGTGTTTTTAGTCTTCCGGATTCTATAATACAGTGCAATGAGGGGGAAGAAAAATATTTTGATATCGTTGTTATTCTACTTAATTGATGTATGGAACTAGCGATAATTAAGAGAGGGCGAGCGAGGTAAGGCGAGAGGACAGAAGAGCAAGAGTATGCGTGAATAAGAGAGCATAAAAGTTTCAAAATAGTATACAGGATTTTTAAGTTAATTTCGATTTTTTAAAAAAAAAATTCCACAAGTAATTTAAAAAAATATATAAATAATAATGTTTTCTCCAACTGGACCTCATTACTTGTAGACGATAATCGGAGGTGTGAGAAGAACTGTTATACTGGTGTGGATGAACGCTGCGTATTCGTGGTCGAGGGAGTTATACTTTGTGTTTCTATGCAGAAGGAGAGTGCGAGAACCGTATGTGGTGACTAGAATTAGCCGAGATGTGGTGAGTGCGACATCGATCATGTAACAGCAGAGAGGGAGTAATCTCGTTTGTATTAAAAAAGTTATAGGAAAAAGCTTTATTTGGGATTAATGACATATAGGATGCGGTGGTGTCGACGTCGTAATCATAGAGATGTGAGGTTGTATTGGTAAGTAGGGAGGAATTTCTGTGTGTGCGAGATATCGGCTAACGACGTCGTTACCAACTAGAAGGAGGTCAGATAGGACATTAGATAGTTATAGAAGTATGATATTAACTTGGTATCTTCAGACCGACGCTTCGGCAGCGGCTTCTTATCACTTGCGCGCGTCAGATATCGATGATGCGCGAGACAGGTGAGTGCGGTAAATGATAATATTCAGATGATTCCAGCAGTAAGGGATAGAGATTATTGTTAGGCACTGTTATGTGGATAGAGTAGCGGAGGCGGAGCGGCACCAATTACCTAACGGTTAGAGGTTCATCATTTTGCGGAAACGCCGGTTTTCACTCAAGATTATGTTAATGTCAGGCTTGATACCATAGGAAGTAGTGAGTAATCAAGCCAAGTGAGATATGCTAGTGAGTCACTAGTAGTACGAGTAAGGTACGAGAGTCCATCAACAGAGAGGGAGGACCTTCCGAGTGTGAGAGACAAACGCTGAATCATGGGAACTCATACCACATGGCACAGCAGTAAGATACGAACTGTAAAGCTGTATGAGATCTCTAGACCTCAAGGGTACTCGACTGGATGAAGTTATATCATGACACTTTGAAAACCCAGCACGTCAATAAGCTGCTGGCGAATTGTAGTGGGGAATCAATGAGGGGCCGGTAGCCCGAGGTCACAGACGTGAAACAGGTAACCTCAGCAATTTGGTCTTTTTTGATACTTCTTCATATCGTTTGCGGAGGAGTATGGGATGATCACGTCCCAAAAATAAGTAGAGAGCAATATATACGCCCTGCTATCACCTGCATTGAGGGGACCGTTGGAGATTCAGAGCCTTAGGCTATAAAGAGGATCAAGGAGAGCGCGTTCTAGATAATGAAGAATGCTCGTGGAGCTCACTAAGGAACCGCCACTCGAACACCTCATATGGCTACCAGCACGGGTTTGAATGTTGAAACTATTCACAGGCTGTTATGTTTGTTAGATGCCTACGACCGTAGTCTGAACAGCGAAGCGGGAATGACTCGTGCCAAACCTCATAACAATTCGTTGCAGCTAAGAACTACTCCGCCTACCAATACACATGTCAGGACCTTCGCTAAACCATTACTGTTAGACATTGTAGCACCGACACCAGCGATATTTGGACACAGTCGCCTACCGACTATGGTCCATCCGACCTCTACTACCACGATCGACCTCTACCTCCCCAAACAACAATCAAACCTCAATCCCCCAATTATGGTTGTCCCTCCGACCTCTATTGCCCAAATATGATCCATCAAATTCATCGATCTGACTATGGTTCCTTCAAGCTCTATCAACCCATGCTAAGACCACTCTGACCATGAGTCCATCGGCTATACGTCCTCACCACCATCGCATGAAAATAGTCCCTCCGACCATAAACACATACTGATTAATGATACCTTATAACCATCTTTCATGACAACTGTTCGCCCGATAACAGTCCCTTTTGACACCTTAAAATCAACACATCTAAGTATATCTCTGATCGATCTCGCCTCCACAATAACAGTTCCTTCGACTTCAGTAGCCTGACTATGGTCCTTACAAATCATGTGTCTCCACCAATAATGAGTGCTTCAAAATCTTCGTCGTCTGCTGACTACGGTCCCTCTAAACTCACCTCACCTAGCTATATACCATTCTGACCTCCATCACCTCCACTATGGTCTATTCATATCTATGTCTCTCGCCGACTACGATCCTTTGATAATCGGTGGGCCCGACTAAACATCACCTTCAAGCTTAGCGTCATACCTTACGCATCCTCTAAACCTCATGTGCTAAATATGGTTCTATCAACCAAACAAACAAGACCATAGGTCTTTAAGAACAACTCTCAATGGCAATTGGATTCTTTCAACTCAAACCGTGTAAACATGCTCTATACAACTGTATAATTTGTTTAATCTCTGCTTAAATTACCTGTTCCATGTTGAAAGGTATTATATGTAATTATATAACACTAGTAAAATTATTTTAATATAGCCATATCTCTTATGATCTCCACCCCTCTCTCTTATTGTGTGTGCATTTAGATTTTTGTATACAAAGCTAAGACATTAATACTCTAATGTCTCTCCATAATCTGTTGCAAATTTTCTACATAGTTTCTAAAAACTATCTTATGCAAATCGCGTCAACAGTAAGCACGTCAACTAAAAAACCTCAAATAAAACAAATTAAAAAATATACACTCGTAAGAATTGAAATTTTCTTATGTTTATGGAAAACTCCTGTGTACATCAAAGAAATAATGATTTAGTCGTGATAAGCTTTTAGAAAGAGATCTATTAAAACATGAATTGTTACATAGCGTATTCGAACAAACTCTCAAAAGTATATAATCGCATAAAACGTAAGCGTGTAAATATTATTTAGTACCACACTCGCTAATTTTTTCGATTAACGTTTGCTACTCTACTGAGGGAGCGAGAGCTAGCCTGTCACAGTGCCTGCCGGATGGAGTGATTTCCGGCCACCACGGGCTGTGGAAAGTCCGGGCCTTAACACAGAATGTGAATACAGTAATGTATTTTGATCTTTATATGGGTCGGTTCTGAGGCGAGACACGCTGTGGAGCTTATGTAGCCTCCCCACAAGATAATTTGGACCGCATCTTACAGTAATTCACTTAACCTCAAATGGTTACAGAACGGGGCTTACATCACAGCAGCATCTTTTTTAATTTTGGTTGAGCTAAACACGAAAAAAAAAAGAAAAATAAAAAAGTAAAAAAAAAAAATAAAGACAAATTAAAAAAACTAAAAAATAAATAAATTAATTAATGGTTTCTTTCTCATGCTCTACATCCCACTTTTTTTGCTTCTCAAAGCAATAGGATAATATTTGGGCAATCTTTAACAGGTCCTTAGACCGACGATATTTGAAGAGGTGGACCAACAAGTCCAATCTCAACCCTGCAAGTCACTCCAGTTATACCCATTTTGTGGAGTGATTTATCTGCGTTGGGACACCGAACGTGTTCAGCAGACCAATTAAAAAAAGCGCACAATCACTGCGGCCGCTCGTACCGAGACAGCCGGTACCACTCGTACGTTGTCGCGGACATAAATAAATTTTTCCATTTTGTTTTGCCTAAAATATCAATCCAGATGCGATTTCATCCCCCTTAGCGCAGATTGATCGAAAACTGGAGCGAACATGCTGCTCGAAAACTGCCTAGAAGCCACGCCTAGAACCCCATCGAACCGTCCGCAATCGAGCACTCGGGTACCGTTCGCAGCTCAATGCATCAACAATAAGGCAGAAGCATCAGCTCAACCCATATTCCCGTCAATCCATAGGAAGAGACATAACAAAAGCGGAATTTGATTAAAGTACTCGGAATGGAGAAAGATACTTTCCCTTATTGCAAGGCACGAAAGACCCACATTGACCTCGATGGAAGAATAAATTGGTTTGTCTCCCCCTTGTGCGGATTATGTGATCTTGGGAAGAAGGTACGAAAGGAGAAGATAGTTACCCTTCCAAATGACGACCTATAATTGCTTCTGAATGTTGTGCCTTCCGATACCGACAAGAAGAGGAATTTGTTCAAAGGAGTGAAAACAACACCTAGCAACGGAGGAGGAAAGACAACAACTAGGGGTTATTCGGGGGCTTCGCCTCTCCCAGGGCGAGCATCGAATTTCCTTTTCGCTCAACAACAAGCGGATTTCTTTACACAGGAGAATTGGCCTGCTCGGGGGGTTCGTGGAAAATACACAAGGATTCACTTCACTTTGCTGTACAAACCAATAACAAAAAAAAAAAAGGGAGGGGAAAAGAAAAGCAATGGCATTATTTTACCATTATACTAAATTTTGCTCCAACCAACACCAAGCCTATTGTTTGGCGGATAGCTTCTAACCAATGTTTTTATCATACTTACTCTGTTCCTAAAAAATTGTTTAAGAAATTAATTAAAACTGCCCAAAAGCTTAATAAAAATATCATATAAATGTGTCCACTCCCTAATATAAATTTAGGGGCTGTTTTGGTTTTCCAATAAAATGAGTATACAAACAATTGTTTTTTCTGAATTTTTAAAATAATAGTAATTTAGCTCTCGGACTGAAAAAAAGAAAAGATAATGGAAATAAAATTATAGAAATATTTATAGTTGATTTTTCGAATTAAGCTAACTTGTATCATATTTTTTTAAAGTAAAAACCAGTTTTCACCGTAGCAAGTTCTCTTGCTAGCCAACTCCTAATCGCCCGCCGCACTTGACCACCCCACCTTACCGACTCAACCTCGCTTTTATCGACACTCAACACCGGGCACCTTGTTTCTCACGCCACTTCCCGCCATCAATTTTCGAATTTACATTAAATCCAATAACAACAAAATATTCATTTTACATGCCATTAATTTTTATCAGACAACCAAAATATCTAAATAGCACTTCACCCAAACTTTACCGAACGAAATGAACAATTTCTAGAAACAAAATATTCATTTACACAAACTTGAACAGTCCGGCGAACTTCAACCCTCTTCCTCAACCAGAAGAGCAAGAGAAGAAATCCTGAACCTCAGAAACCAGCTTCAGTCAAATCCGGTCGCCGGCGGCGAAGGTAAGCTCTACTCAATTAAGCGAAACAAGGTGATCTATCAGCTCCTCCTCACAAGGGAAACCCGCAGCGGCCAGCAGCCACGTTGCCTGAACTCTTCCTGCTGCAACACTCCAGAGAACTTAATAAGATTGGTGTCTAAATACTTGAGGGGCACTAGGAATCGCTTGCCCTCCTTTAGCGTAGAAGACGAAAATGGCCTTTGCTTTTTCCTTTCCCTACTTTCCTTTGAAAGCTGCCAGTCCCACGCCATTTGCCTCGCAATTAGCTCGCCCAGTTTGTTCGAGCTCATACTTGTTTGTATTATGACCGTTGGATGGAAGGAGGAGATGAGTTTGCAGTGGATGGTTAGAGGAGGAAAGGGAAGATGATAAAGTGGAGGGATGTGGAGTGATTGAGTGTGTGGAGAGCATTGCACTTGTTGCAGAGTGGGGAGATTGATGAGGAGAGGCATGTGACTATTTGAGGCTCCCACAATAAATTGAATCCAAGCATCTTATGGACTCGAAAAGTGAACGGTTTGTCTTTTCTTACATCTTCCAGTCCTGTACTCATTAAAATGTTGAAAACGATGCGCCTATTGTCCTCCTTTGCTCTTACAATTCTTATTGTTTTTTTGGCTTGGAAAGGGATTATTAATGTGCGGCATCCAGATGATGTTTTCGATAGATCATTAATAACTCATCAATGTCATTGTTTCCGTAACTGCTAATGTATTGGGCTGACCGTGATGAGTTCTGGTTGATTCCCTGACTGTCGGTCCGTCATAGAATTCAATTTTCTCCTCTCGGGAAGGAGATATCGCGGGATCGAGCTAAATCTCTGGTTAGTTGACGTAACAACTTCTTCCTTAGTGACCATGAATCACTAATCGCTTAATCAATTCGGCCTCAAAAAAGAACCATTGTTGTAAGAGTTGAATAATGTTGGTATTGGTCAGCACACAATCAGCGACGACTGATTCGATGTCGGAGTTACTTGTGGAGGACCAATGATGATCGAAAAATCAATAGTCGGTCATGTAATATTAGGACAATGATATTCAGGTAACTCACAATTGTATGAAATGAAATTAAATATGTATAATGAGTAGGATTACCTAACAATTTCAAAAAGTTGAATGGAGATCTAATCTGAAAGTTCAGTCCCTTTTATTAGTTAATAAACCTTCAATAATTTATTATATAAGAGCCAACTAATTTAATATAGGTAAAAATAAATAAATAAAATAATTTTAATGAGAGATATAGCTATAATAAATGAATATTAAATAAAATTCGACTTAACTTGTAATATTTATATGATAGTAAATTATTTTAATAATTACAACACCAAATTTATATTTTAAATATTAATATCATTTTTCTCGAAAATTTAGAAACGATAATATGAACATTTAATAAATTCTAATAATTTCATGAATTGGTCCTTTATATATTAGACGGCTATTATGGATAAGATTTGAACTTGGGATTGAAACATGGAATTAATATAGTATTAATATATTTCTTTCGCATGCAAATTCAAAATTCAATTGCACCAAATTCTATATGCAAGCTACCTTATGCTACCATGCAATAATCATTCAATTATTGAAACGTACATACCCCTTGCAATATTTTTTTTTATGTTTGTCAACTAGCATATGAACAGTAAGATAAAGGGGCAGGGCACAATGAAAATTAATTATGTTGCGAATCTCCATATCGTCTGTAAATCAACTTAATGATGCGTCATATCATTCGATACACAATAGTATATAATAATTGTTGCATAATAAATTGTGACTTGACGTATCCGATTGGGCCTCCAGTACAACATCCGGTGTACCACACCGTAATAATTTTGTATAATCCATAAAGTGTTCTCCACTAAGTCTTGATTGGTTTAAACTATTTTTTTAATAAAAAAAATTATAACTAAAAGCGCCAATAAGAAAGATGTATTAAAAATAAAGCCTACGATCTATCCAATGA